ATCTAAGTCTAATTATTAAATTAATAACTTATTTTATGCTTCACTTGCAAATAACACAAAAATAATAATTTCCTAGCGTTAGCGTCGTATAAGTTTAACAAAAAACTAAGTTTAAGATATATATTCATCTCGTTTAGCCCTGATTTAATGTTATACCAAGAACACGTGGACTCTTGTTTAAAATGTCTCTTTCTGATCATTATCATAATTTAATTTTTACCAAACATTATCATAAAATATTCATAATTCGAAATTAGATCAGTTAAACACAATAGCGATATTATTAATGTGAGCATGTTTGTTTGTTTATTGTTAAACGCAAAGGTACACATTGGGTTATCTGTGTTGTGCCAAACAAGAGTATCAAAACCCGGTTTTTAGCAATATGAGCCCTCACACTCTCCGCTGAGCCACTGTGGAGCAATGTGAGCATGACTACCAGATTTTAAATTGAGATTTTAACACATTCAATCCTTGCAATATCGATCATTATTCAGGAAAGAAAAAAAAAAGATTGTTGTTTACGGTCAAGGTCATTTGGCGACATTTACTATAGAGTTATTATATTTTTACTTAAAACTTTAAAGAGTATCCTTTCAAAATTTCTTGAATCATAAGAAGCAGCCAAACAAAAATGATACGCCATGACTTCAGAATAAGACCACTGACTTTCATCAATATCTAATTATAATTATAATCATCATGCCTTCCAATTCATCTGAAATTCCAAATAATTCATTTGATGAACGACATAAATCACAGAAATAAAACATAATTACAATATCCTCGTACTTCAAAAGTTTATGTTTGTTTGTAGTTAAGCACAAAGCTACACAATGGGCCATCTGTGCTCTGCCCACCATAGGTATCGAAACTCGATTTCTAGCGTTGTAAGTCCGTAGATATGCCGCTGTGCCACTGGAGGACACAAAACAAACGACGGAGGACGTAACAGGAACGTAAATATGCCATAATAATAACAATAATGTATTGAAATTATCTATAATTTTGAATCATCTTGTCTTGCTTCACTATCTTTCTACAATTTTATAACCTGTTTTATAAACGTATACGTGATAGAAATAATTGTCAAAATGAAAAAGCTCATTAAAAGGCTTAACTTTTTTATTTTTTGTTTGTTTTGGGAAATTACAATCTCTTATTAGAAATTCAAAGGAAGTGCAATCCAAAAGCTTTTCCTAAGGATACTTTTTAACATACAGAGTTGCTGGTTATTACCCTGTCTAAGAGAAGACACCATAAGCAGCGGTTTTCCCCGAAACCGGTTGAGTTGAGTGAAATGAGTTTATAGGCGTCCTATTATTAAGTTATTAGGCAAATGTAAAAGAAAGCGAGAGTGGGGAAAACTTACACGCACGTAGATTGTCTATTAACAATATATATATATATAGTAATTAATAGAATTATCTTACGTTTTCCCTGTATAAATGCTGACTGTTAGAAAAGTAAAGACACACTTTACTCACCACTAACATTTCTCGGGCAACATCATTTTTATATACTTCTTTCCACACTTTGCCTCTCTTTGGCACAAAACAAACAAAAAAAATAACTCGCATATGTGAAATTTAAAATAGAATGACGATTTGTTAATGCATATTACAATTATTAGTTCTAAAAATAAAAGTATACTAAATTTTATTTTACTTATTGCCATAGCATTGACGTAATAAACAATTTAGCCAATAAAGTTTTTCTTTTTTTTGTATTTGTTATGCACGAATTTCTAATACTATCATGATGATCACGAAGAAATTAAGTTTAACGACACTGGATCTTCTTGCTCAACTTAATGACGTTCAAGATTAACTGATCAGTCATGCATGAATTAAAGTTTTTCAAACAAGTTTCATTGAGACAAAGATCTCTTCCCCGCTGTTCTAATCAACTTTTCCTCACACACCTATGGAATCGTTACCATTCATTCCATTTACAGTTTTATGGTCTACTGTGTCTCAACCAATTGAATGACTAAAAAAAAAAACCCTGAAGTTAAACAAGGGGCCACAATCTTCATTAACTTGATGAATTCATAGAAATGACTCTCTCTTAAGAAAAAGCTTCCAATTTTACAAATAACTGATGTAAAAAAATATAACTCAAATAATTTCAAGCAGATTAACGAATAATAAACATACCGCGTTTACAAGCAAAAGTACCCGTCCCCAGTGACGGTAAAATTTGAAGTTAATCTATCAATTTAAATTATTTCATGTACTTTAAAAAGGTTAATTGTGTTGTACTCTTGGTTTCACTCAGAATCAAAGCTCTGAGCTACTTATACCACCCACCGCGAAAAGTAATTGTTGAGCATGCTAAGTCATGCTAAGAGCTGCCCAACAATAGCATACGGTAAATCTACATTTTCATTGTTTAATTTACGTCACATTTTGGAATGTGGATGATACTGTCAATAATTCCTAACAACTTAGTGTAGAATATCCTGCTTGCAAAATAATTTGGCATCAGCATTGTTCAGACCTGTTCTCCCGTCATTTCAAAAGTGAATATTGAGCTTTGCTTTTCAAACATGGAGCGGGAAACGAGAGACAGGCGAACGCTCGAACAGACACCACGGTTCGCAATATTTAAGCTAGAATGTATACCAATCTTGATTAATTACAAAGATAAATATATATTTTTGAGTCATTCATCTGTTTCATTTACCTTTTTCTCGGGTTATTGCGATATTTTATTTTGATATTCAGTTGTATTTTTTTATCTGATAAGCTTTTCCTGTATTTATTCGTCCGTTTCACTGTTTTGTGTACCATAAAGGTGTTAAAACTACCTATTGAATGAGCACGTAGCAAGGGCGCCCGCAGAAAAAAAAATTAGGGGGGTCAAGTAACTCAAGTTTGAAAAAATTATGAAATCGAAATACAAATACCTTATAAATTTCCAATAACATAGACAAATAATTTTACACATCTAGTAATTTTTCTTTTTTAAAATCCAGGGGGAGCAAGTGATTCCCCTTGCCCCTTCCTGCGGGCGTCCACAGCATGTGGATTATGTTATGTTATTCTTAACTGACAGATGGCTTGATGGCTATGGCACTCGACTCGTAATCCGCGGGTTCGAATTCCCGTTACCGAATATGTTCGTCCTTTCAACCGTGAGTGCGTTACAAAGTAATGGTCAATCCTATTATTTGTTGGAAGCCCAAGAGTTGACGGTGGGTGGTGTTGACTAGCTATCGCCGTTAAATTAGGGACGGATCCCGTAGATAGCTCTCATGCAGCTTTACCCGAAATTCAAAACAAACTAAACTAATCTTAACTGACGATAAAGAGGGACATAAGCAATTAAACAGCATGGGTATTCTTTACCTGAATAACTATTTCACAGACAGTAAACAAGTTTGGGTCTAGATAATTACGTGTCGTACAAACTGATTATTTTGATTTTTTTTCTGCACATAATGTAATATTATTTAAAACCAACTGTAAGCACAGAACGTTTTTAGTACTTGTTTCTTTTCAATTTCGAATCGTTATGGCATAAGCGAATAATAGTCTCCCAGTGAACAGTGGTAAGTTCACAGATTAAAAGTTGGAGTTCGATTCCCTGTGGTAGATAGAGAACCTATTGCGAGAAGAGAAGTGAAGTATTTATAGTGAAAACAATCAAAGAACGAAAATAACGTAGTTAACGATTAAAGTAGGAACAATTAACACACTGCCGTACATTGCTAAGCATCTGCTTGCAACAAGCAGTCGCTAATTCTAATGTTTACTGAGAAACCAACTGAATTGAATAGTTAATTCAAAATACAATAAAAGCAGCGTCTACAGTTAAAAATGTTTAAGTTTAATAATTACAATGTTTCGACTCATAGATTCGAGTCATCATCAGGTGAGAGTTTACAATTTTTGGTTCATAGTAGCTAAAACGTCGAAATGAAATGTTTTTATACTATCACTTAAATACGAAATTAACGATTACTTTAAAAAGCAATAAACACAACGTTTACAGCAGGTAAGGGTTTATTTGAATAATTACAATGTTTCGACCCATAGTATCAAGATATCATCAAGTAAGAGTTACATTCAAATATTATGAAGATGTAGAGGACGTTGATCTAACAATCACAATCGAAGGAGAATAAATAATGCAGGATTTAAAACTGTGCGTTTAATTCAGTCACTCTTATTGTTTACAGTTATTTTATTTTTTATCTACACCTTAAAGCTTTAATTGGCATGTAATATCTGTCACTTTTGCATTTTTTATACCTATTTATAAACTGTTTTCACGTTTTCTGTAACTTTCTATATTAGTGTTTAAATATTTAGCCTATCTTTAGTCTTCCCGAAATTTACTTGAGCAGTAACATTTACGTCATCACACTCATTCTTTGATAGCTTATTATATCCTTGAGTGTTTGATTAGCTTGAAAAATATCCATAAACGTCCACTATAGATATGTATGTGTTCTATTTAACTTTTCTTAAAACGGTTCTGCTTAAAACAGTTAAGTATTTAAATATTACAGATCTATAGAGATAAAAATAATAGGCCTTTGTCGTTTTGCAATTGTTGAGTTATATACAGGTTGAGTCGTAGGTTTAACTATCCAGTACATCTACTACCGCTGAGCTTAGAATTTCATGTTTTAAAGTTTTCGCTTTAAGACCTTGAAGTTTGCGTGTTACTATCCTTGTGAATTAGTGCTTCTCTTTTTCCACTAAACTAATTTTTAACGGTTTAGCATTTTGTTATCGTCAGAAGGATTTGTGTTTTAGAATTCTAAATACAACTGTCGGATTCAATTTCGTATACGGCGCTTCTTGCTTTATTGCCACCTAACGTTGAATTTTAGCGTTATAACCACTGAAGTTTACCGTTGAGCCACGAGGGGAGCCTTATATAAATTATTTTAAAGTATTATATTAGCTGCTTATTCCTGTACTGAAGGTGACTTTAAGGATAACGAAGCACATATATTGCATGGGGAAAATTTCAAATCTCCCAATGAACGGATTATGTGATTATTCACAATTGCATATGTCTCATAATAGAGGCAAAGCAATTATTAGCGACTGAATATGGCTCCCAAGAGGAGCAGTGCGATATTATAGTGAATAATATAATATTATTATAGTGAATAAGAAAAAACACGAAGCTTTTGATTTCAGTTGGTTATAAGCTCTAGCTATCTCTCTCCCAATTAAGTTTTATTTGCCACTGGTTTGTTTGTTCTAGAGCAAAGCCACATTGGGTTATCTGCTGTGCCCACTGCGTGGAATCAAACCCCGGATTTTAGCATTGTAAACTTACCGCTGGCCCACCGGGGAACTATTTGACACTTTTATTAAATGGTAAGTTAAATTTCTACTCGGAATAACCAAAAGATGCTTATAAGATAATAAATAAGTGACATATATATATATATAAAGAATCCAAGATACTCTAGTCACTAATCTTAACAAAGGGAGAGACAAGTTTCAGGGGCATTTTTGTTATTTTTTTCGGTTGAGTTGAAGTTGTTTGTTATATTGCATCCTGTGCTTCTATCAAATAAATCAAGCATTTGCTTCGTAGACACTGTTTGATAATGATTTTTTTTTACTAAGAACCAAATTAGAATCGAGTTGTTTCTACTAGTTCTTTCTTTCTTGGGCCCGGCATGGCCAGGTGGTTAGGGCGCTCGACTCGCAATCTGCGGGTCGCGGGTTCGAATCCCCGTCCCCTCAAACATGCTCACCCTTTCAGTCGTGGGGGCGTTATGACGTGACGGCCAATCCCACTATTCATTGGTAAAAAAGTAACCCAAGAGTTGTCGGCGGGTGGTGATGACTAGCTGCCTTCCCTCTAGTCTTACACTGCTAAATTAGGGACGGCTAGCTCAGATAGCCCTCGTGTAGCTTTGCGCGAAATCTGTAACAAAAAAAAACATAACTTTTTTTTCTTTATGGAATATATTCTGTAAACTTGTTGCCTTTCCATTAAAGGTTAAAACGAGGATTATAAACAAAACGTTTTTTGCAAGATGAAACTTATTTATTGTTGGAAAACAATATAATTGAAAGTAGCAGTCTGTTTCTTTTTTTTATTTTTGTTGTTGTTCTAGCTTCGTTAGAATGAACACGCTGTTTTACTTTAAATAATTGACGTCAGGGTTGCATAGATCATCTCACACACACTGCACGTAGCAGTAGGTACACAATTAGTAATGTCATGGTCAGAAACACGCTGTCTAGAGCTTGTGACTACAATGTAACAAGTAATAATGTTAGAAGAGGATCAATATACACCAATATATAATAGGCAGTTTCAGTCGACAAACAGATATTTAGTTAGATAAATAGGCAATGTGAGTGTTGTTGTGACTAAGTTTTGAATCCATTAATGCAGATGTATGTACGTATATATATATATACATAAAATAAATTATCTTAGGTCATTTGTTACAGTTTTCACAATAAGACTACGTTGAATATTATATTTGTTATATTCTACAGTAGATAAAAACAATGACCATATATAGCAACAGTAACCAGTATCTGTGGACGTTATGAAGAGAGACAAAAAACAATATACGAAATAAAAATGTCCCAGTTTCTGAAAACACTACTAACATATTTCGTCTTGGCCAAGTATCCCTTCTTGAAATCTACAAGTCACGTAGTTAGATATTATCGAAGAAAGTACTTTTTTTTTAGGAACTCGAGAATGGCTGAATTTGCTTAGGACGCAGCTTAACAGAATGAAGAAGTTTAACAGTCATTGTGTTAAAGAATCGGGACCACAGCCATTTTTTTTTATAGTTATACACAAGTCTCCATTTCCCATATAAAGGAGCACTTAAATACTAGGTCAAAATTTAGGTAATTGACCCTATTTTCCTCGATTTCGCCACCTATGGTCCCTATTATATATGATATATATAAAAGCATCAATCCTCTTATTAAATCCTAAGATATTCTGTTATTGCATATCGAACGCAATAAAAAGTATTTTCAAATACAAGACATAGATATTCTAATAATGTTGTTTTTGTTCTTGGCACAGACTTTATTCAGTATTCTAAATTCGATGACGAGGAACCCACTTTGAGACTAATAATGGCTGGAGACGGCTTAAATG